TAAAGTGCCCGATTGGTGAGCGAGAGTTCAAAGAAAGGTTGAAGCTCTTTATAGTCTAGAAACAGGGTTATTAGCTTTTTGAATCTGGTAAACGCATCACAGTTACGGATAGGTATTGGCAGCCTGTTCCACAATAAACTATACCGTGCTGTAAAAAACTTACAACGCATTTGTTTTTGGTGTTTCACGGTAAGCAGCGTATATGCGTTGTTTCTAAGTTTATAAGCTGGGTCGTGGGTTATAGTCGGGCAGGAGTTTTCTTAATTTTGGGAATGATATGTGTAGTCTCCTAGGCTATGATGTAACACGCTGTAAAGTGTGACAACGCAAATAATTTGGGAAGTAGGACACACATACAATCAGTTACACTCCTAAGCATGCTAGCCTGAATACCACCTGGTCGATCCATGAAGGAGTGTTTCAGTGTGCCAACTGCCTTAGAAATATTCTGTGCATTGAAGTTTACACTAGTAATTCACAGTAAGGTACTGGGATCGGCTCTGATTCATCTAGTTTATTTTCGTTGGTTAATAAGGGACAAAGTGTTCACTAAATAACTACGTAATAAGTTTAGTATCTTCGTATACCTGTTTGTCCCTAATAAATACGTTTCCTCCTTCTGATGTAATACTTTTGAGTTAATTTTTAAGGAGTTTGATAAGTGCAGAGGAGTCATTATCGAGTTCCTGCTTGAATTTTTTATGTACATATTGCCTTTGCATGAACAAAGTTTTTTCAGTGTAACTAAGGAGGAAAAGTCATAAAAATTGTGGAATGGAGTACAATGCACTTGGCCCCCAAATGCACTTGTACGTCCTTCTTACGGCGGGGGCGTTGTTTACGAAATTGAGTGGACGAAAAGCAAATATCCGACCGGTGGATCCGGAAGATCCACCTATAGATTTGGAAAACCCTGATTCCAAACCAACGGTGCACATAGACTCCAGGACCTTGAGAGAAAAAATGGCCCATGAACTTATTGTTGGTCACCTGATACCATGGGACCGTATCTCCTCATGCTGCTCCACTGCCTTGTGGATTAGACTTTTAAGTCAAAGGCTCGAAGTGTGTAGCCCTCAAAAAACCATCTGGTCCGGCTCAAGGACCCGCACAGTATCCCAGCCCAGACACAAACGAAGTTATTTCTGTGGCGCTTATCTGTTTGATGTCCGTTTATGACAATATTTATGTATTCAAAAAGAGTAATAAATAAGTAAACTTGCGTCGGTGTGAACATGAGGTGGATTTGATGCACATAAGTGAAAGTAGTTATGACCGTTGATGGAGTTTTTTCTCTGACCTGGATGGTTTGGTCGTAGAGCTTTCATTGTTCTTCTGAACGACATCATCAATACAAACTTAAGATAGAAGTGAAGCACTCGAAATTCTCCATATGTGTTTCGAAACTTGTCCTGTACACCTCGATAATGATTGGTTCTTGTTGACCTTAAATTTGTGGTTGTTTACTTCTTTGTCTCGGTTGTCTTCCATTGGTTTGATTTTCGTTCCAATGTTTGTGCATAAACTTCCTGGTTTGTTGATAAATTTGATCAATTTCAATGTGCTTGTTGATTGCTGATTGACCTGAGTGTGAGACTGACTGTTATTATACAGGGAGCCATTTTTATGTGGTGGGTTGGTACTGAAGGACGTGGAAAGTTTTCTTTCCAATTGGGATCCTGGGCAATGAAGACCAGGTATGTTCTGCGAAACCTATTTTTACCATACCTTTTAGTGATTTTAGAGTTTGAGGAGTGAGTGGAGTGATCAGTACTCTGATAGTTTTGTTAGTCTATGCGTAAAAAGCGTTGTTGCGCTCTAGTCTACCATCAGTTTCGCTACTTAGAAGTGTTGACGGCAGTTTATATGGTATCAATGAGGAGAACCTGTTCACTGTAGTTGCAATACCCACAGAACGATATGGTTGAATCTTAGGTACTTCCATAGTTGGTATCGTGATGTTGTTTCCCCACCCCTTTTTCAGGGCTAGAGAGTTTCTTGATCTCTGTGAAATGAATTCAGGTTCATTAGAGTCATCTTGTGTACTACCTTTGGGAGAAAAAGTTTTCAGGTTAAGAGGTTTAGTGAGTGTGTGTCGTCGAAAGGCTCAAATTTAAGTGCTTTACTACGCGAACATCCGGGATCGGAAATGCTTTACTTTTTTTAGTGGCAGTTGGAATCCGTATCTTATTCAACGGTTTCCGATCTGAGGATTTACCTGGATCTACAAACTGACCTGCCGTATATGAAGTGACATCATGCTTATTGTTCATGAGCTCTAAACCATTTACTGTGTTGCAGACTGTTTGCAGTTGGTTATTCGCTGTAACACTATCATGCAATTCTATCGCTTCACGTATCGCCATACGACGTTGACAGAGAATTAGGTCTGGAGTGACTTTTATGCTCTTGTATGTAATATATGAGCTTATAGTTTTGCTCGAATCAATAAAAGGTTTAGCGTCGTTACTGGTTCTTAAGCTTTGGATCTTCAAAAGATACCCATCCTTCATGGGTGACTGAATTTCTTTATTCCTATATTCATCCCTACCTAGACAGCGCACATTTGACATGAAGGTTTATATGGTTAGGAATCACTGTTATTCCGTTGTCTCCAAAACGATGTTTTTAAAATGGAAGTCATTAGGCCTGAAGTTTTTATAACTCCACAAATATTTTGACCTTTCTACAATAATGGAGCACTAGCATAAACTTTAAATGTCCCCTTGAACTCCAACCCTTATTAAGTAACTGGAGCCAGTAGTTTGAGTTCTAATAGCGAAAATAAACGACATAATGAAATGGTGAGTTAAGATAGGTAAAAGTGGATGCGGAATGTTGTGACAAACATTAGAATTTTAAACAATTTGTAGTTACATTGATCCTAACCACACAATCTTCAAAGCCAAACATGAACTCAATGTAAAAATTCGAATTCGACAATTAACACGGAGAGGGCAACAATGGAGAAGGTGGGAACAATGGGTTCATTCAATAGGATGACATGGCCCAGCCTTTCAGGAGTGGCCATTCTTATGTAACTTATGTTTTCCTTTCATAATAAACATATTGCTCTAATCCAGAGAAAATATAATAATATATTTCTGCAAGGGCAGGTACACGCTATTTTTAAAGCCATAAGATACCTGTTTATTTACACATGGCCCATACAAGTAAAAAAGGCGATGAAGCTCACGCGTTTCAAAACTAAAAACATAATTTACTTATATATGAACACAGCGAGTTTACCCAGTAAAATGGATGACCGCTTGAACTCAGTAATCATAATAATACTCATCTGATAGGAATACCTGAAACAAGTGTATCTTCTCAAGAGCTGGTAATACTCGGGATGACTTTGTTTCGCAACGACAGGAAAACTGGAATGGGGGGCCGAGTGGCCTTGTACCTATGATTTTACTTGGAGGTACATCAAGTACACAAACAAGCGTCTTGATGGATCCGTATGGTGATCTATAAGATTGTCTACCACCCCGAGGTGTCTAATTGTAATCATCCAGAGGAAGCCCACTGCTGACATTTGGCACGGCAATGGTATACCGGACGGATTTTCCAGCCCTACTCGTCTCTGGTGCACGCATATCCTGATTCTAAGAGACTTCAATCTCCATAAAGTCAGTTTCGCGGAATATACGTACATTGGAGGTCAAAACTATACTGAATCTCGGTGCTTCAACCCCACTGAACAATTAGGATAACTCTAAGATGTCAAGTTAGCAGCCTGTTGGAGAAGCAATCAGACGCCATAGCTCTTAGACAACATGTTTACAAACGGAAAATTCCCAATTCCCAACCTCTAAATCCTAGCTCTTCTGGTGAAAAGTGATCAGATCAAAATACCCTTCAGTTATATCAGCAAAACTGAGCTAGGATATCTTACCTAAAAATGGCACTGCAGCAGGTGGACTGGTAAGCTCACCATCAGCTTGGTGTGAATGCCCAGTGGGATCTTATTTGCCACAAAGTAGTCTGTTCTTCAAACCGTCCCCGAAATCTACAAGTAACATACAGTTATCAACCATCGCGCTCTTCGTTTGCTAAGCCGCGAAAGGCACTACAGGGCGGAACGCAGATGAACTGGTAGCAACAGCGCATACAGGCAGTTAAAATATGTAAGGAACATATGCAAAACTGTAGGCTTCATTACCAGATAAATCTTATCGATAAATTTATCTTCAATCCGAAAAGTTTATTTCGTCATGCAGCCTCGCTTCGACGAACCAGAACCGGAGTTTCTCAATTACTACCAACAACGAACGTGATGTAGTCTATCTTCTGGCAAAACAATATACTCGGACACTTCGCCTGACCCATACAACTATATTGATGAAAGCTTCACCTGCAACTCCACAGGACTTTCAGAAGTGAAAATGAGCTTTGACTTGGTGTACCGCAAAATGCAGCACTTGAAAAGATACTACTCCTGGCCGGGTAATCGTCCATTCTGTTGTACTGAGGGAAGTAGATTCAATCTTAGCAAAACTGTTTGGAGTGATGTTCTCAAATTCGCTAAGCCAAGGCACATTATTAGACAATTGGGAGCAGGCTCAAATCACACCGATTTTCAAAAGAGTTTGACGTAAAAACATCCAAGCTACCAACCGGTAGCACTTCTCTCTATGCATTCAAAAATTATGGTGTTCTGGTAGGAGACTGTCTACACGACATGATGAGTAATATAATGAGAGATGAATAATCTTTCGAAGTGTACGGTGGTCCGAAGTCAATATACAATCAAGGCCTAGTCTAGATTTAGCAGAAGACTAAGGCACAAAAAGCACGATGTATTTAGCACGCAGCAGTCAAAACAAAAGTTATCTAAGCAACCTAAAAATATGAATTGCAGAGTCGATGAATTTAAACAATATATTAAGAAAAACGGTGTATTTACTAACACAATATCACGGAAACCAGTAAAGATAAGTTTTTATCAAGGTCTTACAAACAATTACAGCTTTTGGTTTTCATAACCTTAAATTCGAAACTGGTATCCTAGATACGTTACTGCTGCCTAATTAAAGCTGGGCTGTTCAATGACTTCTGAAGACTATGCAATGACAAAGTTCGAAGACTATTATTGGTTGGTCGAAGGTTTGGGAAGGTACAAGCTAATCTAAATTAACTTTTAAACATTTATAGAAAACCTATTCAGCCACAGTATGCTGTTTAGTCTTAGATAATTTGCTTTTCTTCATTCTTTTTAAAATAATGAAACTTTCTACAGATTTAATGGTACTTTTGTTGCGTTATGCATGGAACGCAGGACAAAAATGTTTTATGCTGTTAAAGTGATACAAAAGAAGGTTACAAAACTCGATTGTCTTAACATTAAACAGTTGACTTCTCCTGAGAAAAAAAATATAGGCCATTTGTTGACGCTTGATCATCAAAATGTGGTAGGTGTCATTAATGAATTTTAAGTAAGGTTTTAGGCGAAGTTGAAAGAATTATTTGAAACATCTTTCTCATTGCATATAGTCGTTGAATTTGCAAATGGTGAAGAACTCTTCCGGAGGTATTTTATTTTTCAAGGAGCTCTGTTAAATCTCGATATTTCTCTTTTGTGGAGCTCCTAATTGGATTACAAATGAATTTATTACAAATATCTGCCCGTTATCATTTATCTCATATACTTTATATAACGAGTTTCAGAATATGATCATTAAAACTCCAAACTATCGTCAGAAAAAGAAACATCAGCATTGGCGCAATTATATTTATATTGCTTTAAACTTGTGACTGAATTAGCAGAATATGTTGCATGGCTTCCTTAGCCTGGATAAAACAGTATTTTTGGTAGATATTGTAGCTAATGATATCAACCTGTCACAAAACACTTTTCACCATAGTGATTTATATATTTGTGGATTTTGAGTCGTTATGCTACAGAACTAACCTGGTCCATAGTAATCATTTGTAATACCTGTCCGCCAAAAGGGTTGCAGATTAAGTTTCCATATTAGATATATGTATTGGATCGGAAGACCGACAGTCGGTTTCAGTCGTTTTCTAATGAACTTCCGTGGTTATTTAGCCCTTTCTTAAGCATATCAATTGAAGGTGAGAGCACTGCTTCTTTGGGTGGAACATTTCAAGAGTTGACGACTTGGTCTAAAAACCCTTATGAAACTGGTATTTTACTGGTCCTTGGTTTTAGACGCTCCTGCAATATCCCATCAATTATTCTGGTTTAAAAGAAAAAAAAACTAAGAAGTATGTTAGGTTCGAAATCATTTACTAGCGTTCTGTACATCTAAACCAGATAACCACATTGTCCATAGTGGGACAGGCTAAAGAGGTCGACTGTCCAATTTTCAAATTAATTCAACCTGGTTAGTAACTGTGTGCAACACTATTCGTCTCATCGTAGGGCTCTATTGATATTCATTATTTTCATTTCGATACTTTGTTTTAAGAGAAAGTTACTGTAGATTTTTTAGATATATTTAAGATGCAATTAGTTAAATTTTGACAAAAAGTGTAATTTAAACGTGTGATTTTGAAGTATACAATATATCTATTAGATCACAAAAAAGGTGGAACAATTTTTCATTTAAGTTCTTTATCCTTAGTCCTCATAATTTGTGTATATGCCTGAGGGAAGACCAGCAGCTGACTACCGAAATTGCAAAAACGTTGCGGTTAAAACATTTTCAGGTACTCTTTGCAGAAATTCTGAATACTTTGGCGTATGACGTCGCTCAATACGCTCGAGAGCTCACAACCATGTCAATCGTGTTGTCTAGTAACATCCAGATGATGTTATTCAGTTGCATGGTAACAGTAATTTGTGTTTTACAGGAAAAGACAATGAAATCGATAAGTCGGCACTATTTTTTTATTTTTTCATCGGCTGAAGACAGCTTAGAACTAAGAACGACTGCGAAAAAGTAGGTGGATGATAGTGAAAGAGTTAATCTATGGCAAACTTCAAAACAAATAGTATACCAGTAAGTTTATTAAATATAGGCAGCAATGTGTATGATATGAAAGACGTAAAATAATTAACAACCCAAAATTTTCAGAATAGTTTGTCACTACTGTCGAAAACAGCTCGTTTACGATCAAGCCTAATAAAAACAGTTACAAACTCTACATACGGGTTTGTAGTTTTTCATTGTCTGTATTAAGAACTACATCTGACCTGTCTCTATTGGCACATGTGGATTCCGAATGGATCGTCTTGAGAATATCTCTCGATTATAAGTATTTGGTATGTTTGGACCATGGTCAGGAGTGTAAGTAAGGACGTACATCCAACCCTACTTGAGATTTATCATTCAATTGTACCTGTATCTTAGTGAATCAGTCAACAACCAGATTCGCTATTCACTCAGGATGCATGTAAACCAACAAAGGTTGGTCAATTACAGTCCTCATTATCAACATCAACAAAACGCAAAATCTTGTAAGTAACTCCATGTCTGTTAAACAAGTGGCTGTCTGGACTCAGTATGTTTGTGTATGCCGCATTGACTATTCAAGTGGTAGGTAATGCTTTTGAATCCCAATGCGAATAATAACACGTAGATATAGTTACACGTGACTGACTAGTCCCGAATAGAATAAATTGCGGGTCAACTCTATTAATATTGAAGAGATTAAAATCTCATCAATGTTTATAACGGATCTTGTTCACTCAAAAACTTCAGTATTCAAACTCATGTTATTTCACCCTTGAGAATCTTGGTTGGTTTTAACCAATTGTCAACTCTCTTTTTATTCCTTCTATTTAGATTAACTAAAATGCCTATCTACAACGAAAAAACGGTTGGTTATTATTTCAGACAAGTGGTTGATGGTATCAGATACTTACATGAATATGGAATTATTCACAAAAATTTAAAAGTATGTATGATTCTTTTCTAGGCTACTTAGAGTTTTGCCGCCATACATTCAGAGCGACACAAAATGAATTGATGATCAACGGAAGACTTGAAAGTACTAGATTTGATTTGTGCACGATTTGACCAGACGATTTCGTGTTTTAGTAAATGGGTGGAAATAGCCAATGCAAGTAGATAATGAGTACGATAAATTCCTTGAACTCTTTCTATATTACAGACATTTAGACTGGTCACCTATCCTTGAAATTAGCATCAATGTTTCATAGTCCAATCGACCATACTAGCATATTTTGTAAATCCATCAAGCGGGGATTCTAACGAATAAGAGCACTGATGACTCATCTTAATCGGGGATTATTTTTAACTTGAAACTAAGGACAAAATATTTACTGTCATTAAGTGTGAAACCACGAAAATTCATCGAATGAACGAAATCGAGGTATTTTTCAATTTCATATGTACTAAACATGTTCGTACTAGTCAAACCTTAACTGTGTTATCATTACTTGGAGATCTGACACAAGAAGTTTCTTCAACTCTGTTAGATTATGAATCAAATATATAATTGAATACCGATTATTGCTTCATTTACCGATAGGATGTGCATTATTTTTGAATTGATCTGATTGAGATGCTAGTACGGAGTAAATAGACAACATCTATCTCACGGTTTCTTAAGCTTCAGTCCAGTTGCTTTTTTGAGGTCTGCTGAAGGTACAAAACAGGTTAAAGACCATTCGCGGCGACTGACGCTGTAGAACAACATTCTTACCATCTCCAGTAGATAGTTCCAAGTGGGTTGGTTTTATAATAAGAACAGGTTGAATTGATAACTTTCAGATCGAAAGATAAGTTGGTTTTCTTCCACAGTATTTCGGGTATCAATTAGTAGCCCTAAAAATAAAAGTTAATGCTTTACATTTAGCTACGACAAATTATTGTTTATCTGACATACAACTCTGTGTAAATTTGTAGCTAGTTTAAATTACATTGGATAAATGGTTGAGTAGTTAATGCCGATTGGTCTCACAAGATAAAGTTGTTGAGAAAACAGATAAAAATGTTTAACAAACCACTGCCTTTTTGGTAAACAGTTTTATATTTCGATATCCAACATCGAAAAGATAATCGACTTTCGCTAAATATTTTCAAATCAAACTAACCGATAACTGGTACCATCTCCGAATTTCACTGGTAAGAATTGCCAAATCTATTGAAAATTTTAGATGTATGAAGTATACGAATATTTCATAAAATATTCTATGAATTTACAAATATTTACGTGTCGACTTGGTATACTCTTAAAGTAACATTGGGATCCATGTTACGTGTTACGTATGCCCAACTACCGACTGCCCCAACGAGCCATGTTCTATGGTGTTGGAGTAGGATGGAAGTAAGCTAGGGGCAGCCAGGCCAAAACATATCACAAATCCATGAAGTCACTGACAAGTGGACTGAGCCATGTCGGTAGGTGTAGATTACCTGGTCAGGATCCTCAAGACAATAGTAACCGATGGTTAGAGACTTTGAACGACATGGCTCAAAATCGTTTTTAATGGTGTAAGCAAGTGCATCCGCTCTTTGTGTTCTTCCAAATTCTAATCTTCTGAATTCTTCATGTACCTTTCGTTTTTCTATTTCTAAATTTATTTCACTGGATCATATTCCTTCAATAACATCTTCAAACCCTAATGTTTCCGATTACTGCTTATACTTTTACTACCTCTACCACTAGGAAATTTGAATGGACAATTGCATCTCTATGCTAATATTGTATGGAAACTCAAAATGATGTACGTACGTACGAAGTTCTACGTTGTTACTGACTGAATTAGCCAACGAGTATCTTTATAATCAAACTTTCAAACAATTTCCGAGTTTATTGAGAATTTTCACTGATTCACCTACCAATATATCGACTAAATTAATCTATAAGAAAGTCTAGCTTCAATTGACTCATGGTTTAAACTATTGAAATTACTAAAATCTCCACAAAACCCTTTCTGACCACAAGAAAGTGTCATAGAGGATACTTCAAGAAAATATTCGTAAATTATGTAGTATCATTTTCTTGCATAACCTGTTTTGTCTAATTCAATATTCGGAACGGTTTTGTTTAATGTCAAAATTATTACGCTAACGAGCATTCATATCTGATTTCACACAAAAGCTCAACATCTTAAATAATTCACATTCATAAATTCTTAGGTTTAAAGAACCCTTAATACAGCATAGATAAATATACTGTGACTATCTGTTAAACTAAAATAGTATCTTGTAGCTGTTTGGTTGCATTTCAAGATTCTACAACTGATGGGAATGTATAATATGCAATCAAACGCCAATCATGATATTCAAATTAACCAAATCGGAATTACTACTGGAGATAATCACTATCGGGTCTAGAGCTTTGGATTTGATAGCCTAAAGAATCTTGTGTCTGAGTAACGTAAGAGTTGTGATTTTGTATTGTTTGTGCAAGAAATATTTAGTCCTCAAGCGAGACTGTTTATTTTTCCAATTATTTTAGCCTGAAAACATACTGCTCAACACCAGAGACAGTGATGCGATTGTAAAAATCAGTAAGTATGGAATATATGTAGAAATTGACATTAATATTTCGGTCATTCTTTCTGTAATCACCAGTGCATGCTATTTTCCAAATCCAATCGGCAAGTTTGTTTGACTTGGTAAATTTTTGAAAGTCTTAACAAGATGTCGAAACTTTTTCTAATAAAAACGTTGTTTACTTAACTTATTAGTGAAGCACGCAGTCCAGGCCCAGATGTGTGTCCGTTTATCGATGAATAAGCACTAACATGAATGCGGACAAAAAGTTAGTTAGTTTGATGTTACACACATTTTACGGTAGGCTGCGAAGTGGCATTCAGTCGATGTTCTAGTATTTTCACTCACCGTGTGCAGCTATTTCGATTGAAGCAAGTTCTATGGATATCATCCGTGTTTCACACCCTGTTCTACAATCAGTTTAGGGATATCGTACTGGAATAGTTTCATCTTGTCGTATCTATTTGAATAAAAGTGAATGACACATCCAGATGTTTATATTACAGCCAAAAGTAATGATTTATTATTTCAAACTTTTAGAATTGATAACTCATTGAGATATATTTAAAAGCTCCATGTTCACAGCAAACATTCCTAAGGCTCCTGACTAGATTTATGGGAATTGAGTTTAGTTTCATTTTTGCAGTAATCACTCACATGATACCGAGATGTACTGAAAAATTCATGTAAATCTAGCGGCTTCAAGCCATGTGTAATGACTGACATAATTATTTACACAATAAAATCTGATTCAGAGCAGCTTGTGTATAGTTAAGTAATGAATTCAGACGTCATATATGTGTATCCGCCCAATTTGAATTTGTTCAAATTGAGGACACAAGTGTTAGCAGGTACAGAGCGTTGGTTGGTCGTTTACTTCAAGTTTCCACATCTGAGAAGTACAAACACCTTATCATTGCACTATTCAGCCACTTGATCAAACTTCAATGGTTCAAATTGTCCAGCTTCAATCAATTCACAGTACAATGATTACACCATCAAATGCAATCTATTGACGTCCGACTTCACTAACAACTCGGTTTACTCCGAAAGTCACATATTAACATCAGAGCTTCAAGAGTTCCATCTAGACACCATTCAACATTAGGAATATGTTCACCAAGGTGGTTTGTGAGTAAGTACTTAATTCTGGCATACTTATTTACAGACCGACGTCAGATGACTAGTGCTTCTTGATTTGCCACCTGATTTTTCATTGATTCCAATAACAAACGCATCTCAATTAATCAGTTTTTCACAACATACAACAGTAGATCAAAAATACGGTTGTAATATTTACTAATGTTTCTTGAAAAATCAAACGGACACATCAAGTGAAATCATATAAACGAAAAGAGTAAGATTTATCACTTGTAGCAGTAAAGTAATTGAAATATTTAGACTTTATATAGAGAGGCGATGTTTGAAGTTGAACGGAAGCCATGATTGCTGCACAGTTCAAACATTCGGCCTCTAGGTAATCAACATAGAACCCTACTGAATAAAAATCAAGAAGTTGAATATTCTAGTTTACTCATTCATGTCAGGTAATTTGACTCAACAAACTAATATTATTCGCGCTTCAACGTAGGCTTTAAATCATCACCTTTGATAGAAAATTTAGTCGGTCAGCCAGAGTTACCTTCGAATACCTAATATTTATAGATTTATTCAATAACAAAATAGAAATACTTTTCATTTTCCATTACTGATCGCTTTTAGAAAATATAGTTCATTTGTCAGTTTCAGCACTATTAGGATATCCGTTCAATGATATCATATAGTTGCTGAGGCTAATTAGTTCACTTTTATGCATAGAGTCAGAATTATTTAAAAGCTTAGCTAATGATCACAACGAAAGCAACAAATGTATTTATAACAAATGCTTTTTAAGTAAAATATAGGCAAATAAAATAACTCTTCATAAGAATTAGATTGTTCATTGTCCAATGCATTTTCATCCCCTTATTTTAATCAATCTATTTATTTTTGTATTTTTCTTTTAGCTGATTACTCTCCTCAATTATTTACAACTTCAGATTTAGATTTAGAAATGGTATGCTTGACGACAACATTTTGTGCACCTGAATTATTATTAAGTAGATGTTATGATAAAGCTATTGATCTATGGGCACTAGGTATACTATTGTATATAATGTGAGTAATGTTTATAAATAAATTCTATGTACAATTGTTTAATATTAATTACACAGTCAAGATGATATTGGATTACCAGGTGCATATTATCCCCTTCAATTGATGAAGTCAGAAAAAAAATCCCTTATTCTGACCAGAATCAAGTGGATTACTTCTGAATTCATTGTAAGTAGTTGTAACAATGGGGATCATGCTGTCAGTAATTGAAAAGAGGCACAACTAGCAAATGTAAGCTTAGATGCTAAATTTACTCCCTATTGATTTGGATAACGAACCGATTGGTGTTAGACCACCATTGAAAACCTTGAAGCACTAGAAGACCGTTTCGTCCTATTGTGGTACTCCTCAGCAGTGCGCATCAATGATCCCGCTCGCGGGATTCGGACCCAGGGTTTTTGGTCTCACCCGAACGCTTAACTTCCAAACCACTGAGCCGGCATCCAACGGTATTATTGTCTAATCTCAACCAACTGCTTACATCGAATCTTTCTGGTACAAAACCACATTATTTAACTCGTAGGCAGTTCTTTCAAGTTTATATATGATATGAACTATTGTTCAACTTTATTAATCAGTTTTTGTAGCTTTACATTTAGATTCAATGATAATTATCCATATCGGAATTTTCGTTTCACTAACTATTATTCTTATGAAATTTGGTGAAAATCAGTAACAGTCAAGATCAGTAGTTCTCAAAGTGTATGTATTTCATAAATTAAAAGATATTCACTTAGCTAATTTACATTATACTTTCTGTACATAAATATTTTAAATGAGTAACATTCTCCTATGGATTACTGTTATAACTCTCGGTTTTACTTCGTCTAATGTTATAACGGTTGGGTTTTCACATTTATACGTATGGGACGTTAATTTACCTTAGACGAATATCTACACTAGATTCCTTCCTAGTGTCTATTCCACAGGACAATCGAATGTTTCATCTGAGGTTTTAAGTAGGAGGACGAAACACTACTGTTATGAATCTGTTCATTTCAACAAATCAGTTAGTCATATGTAACGTAGAAGCTAGCTACTTGGTTGAAGTTTCCACATCATATCAGCACAGAGAGATGCCGGAGCAGTTTAGGTAGTATCAATATTTGTGATAGTAGGAAAAGCTGGGTATAAAAGTTACAATTCAAGAAAAAAATATAGATTTATAAAACAAAAGAATTATGGGACAATTTAGAAAATTATCTGTTAGTTTAATTGAGTAAAGACCAAAAAATGTATCAATCAGGCCATGATACCTGTCTAACATTTCAAAACATTTGGTATGAACTATAAGAGTAAATCTACACAGACACAACAACGTCTTGGAGATGCTCAGACATTGAATATCGAATAGTGAGTAGATGTTAAGAGGTCGAACTTATCCGGTAAGAAATTATGAGCCTAGATTTCCAATAACTTTTAGAAAAATATCAAACTAACTTACGACATGATAATCAGACAAACAGTGAAATAAAGAGAAATACTTCTTGGGAATGCTTTTCTAGCTGTCCACCTGTACAATAGAATTTTACGTCTACTTTTCACTGTTTCATGATTTAGTAACGGGAGATAAATTTTTGTAGTGTGTTGATTGTTGAGTTATTTCTGAATCTGCACCAGCCCTCTTCAGGTAGTCTGAATGGAATCAAGTTGTGGATACAAAAATGTTTGAAACTTTCGAGTTTATTTAACCTGATGAGCATATGACGTACCAGTTCATTCTGTTCTTCTTTTCTGTCTTAAGATATAGTTACGAAGACGTAAACCATGACAACGATATTCACTAATTAATTATAGGTGTCTTGAAAACAGTGGTTACCTGTGATGGAACTGTGCGGTATGAAATATTTGGGGTCTATTTTAGACTAAGTTGAAAGAAATATGGGAGTGGTCGGACTGATAATACAGTTTGTTAGATTCTTGAGAAAAAATCGGTAAAAGAACAAATCCAATTCTAGATTAATCAATGATCATTGGTTTAAGACGTTAGGCGTAATACAGCAATCTGACCTATTGGATGCATTTTGAGCGATGTTCTACATTTTTAAATCCTTTCTGAGTGCGATGCACAATTCATTCAAATTCCCCCAACTTCGTACCTAAGTTTCTTTTACAACAAGAAAACAAATCTTTCTTGGACCTAGATACTTATTCACTAAATACATATAATGATTGTTAAGTAGTTTCTTAAATATACATTGTTTGATTCTAAGAATAAATCCAGTGACTGTATGAACTTTGATAAATATTCATACTTATCAATAGGAAAATACTACAGACTTCTCTAGGTCACTCATTTTAGTTAAGCATTCTTCCTACATTCATCCGCTCTTGGGTTCAAAAGAAATAATAGTGACATCACCTACTTATCTTTCTAAAGTAAATTTGTTCGACAAGTGTGGAGTCCAGGGATCACAATACTTACCAATCGGATGTATCTGGGTTAATGTTATCAATTTCGGATAATTTAATTCTAAGTTTTTTGACCGTTGATCCATATGTATTATAGAATATTCGGAAAAGTCATAATTAATCTACCTAAATCAATACTCATCTGTAATATATACATATAATCATGAGAAAATTAAAGATCTGTCCTTAACATCCTTCTCTACTGTGGCTGTAGATACCACTATAACTAGTTAGAATGAGTCATTTGAATGATTTTGCATTTTTCAAAAAGAGTAGATCAGAAAATTCTGTATAATTCTAGGTTTACGCGTGCTAATGAGGTATGGCAACTTGGATCGATGCATATATGTACCTAGTCCTACGTTGTAGCTGACTGACTGATGCCTAAACGTGTAGTCACTAAATACGTTCCAACATTCGAAATGTTTTGTTAATTAGATGATTTTTTTTCACTACCTATGAGCAGTTTAAAACTTTAATTTCGGTTTCTGGTGTGCTTTTTTTTAAGGTTATGTGGAGATGATCCTTATAAATCGAAATCTGGTAGTGATTTATATCGTGCTATACTTCACTGTGATGTTGAGTTTAAATCTCCTTCATGGAAATCAATTAGTTTGGATGCTCAAGATGTTGTCAAACGTCTTTTAGTGGTAGATCCAAAATTAAGAATCATTACACCACATTTGTTGAGTCATCCATGGTTTATCATGTTAGATGAAAATGAAAAACATTTAGATTCAGTACAGGAGAAACTAGAACATTTTAACAAACAGCGTTCAGAAAAAGTATGTATCCATGAATTAAATAACTTCGTTTCGTAGATTGATTCTCTATAATATGTACCATGATGAAATGTTTTGTTGATTGGTTTCATTTACAGTTAAAAGTGAAGTATAATCTAGGTGATAAAACCAAGAACTACTAATGACGACTCGCAGGCTTTTGAAGTTTAATTATATGCTTTACATTCAAGCAGTGTTATGTGAAAGAATAATATTATTCTAAGTTGTTAATTACCAGCTATACAACCACGTGCATTTAAATGAATCTCAATGTATACATGAGAATAAAGTAATGCTTTAAAGTATAAGATATTTGAATTCATGGGCAGGTTGAAGCTAGATAACCATAGAAAACCTGTAACCACTGAACGACCATTTCGTCCTATCGTGGGACTCCTCAGAAGTGTGCATCCACGATCTCGCCCCGCGGGATTCGAATTCAAAACCTGTCGGCCTCGCGTGCGGACTCTTAAACTCTAGACTACTGAGCCGGGAAACAGTGGTGTTAATGTCTAACTTCAATCAATCCGCGGAATTAAACCACTATCCAACATTGTCTTCAGTAAGGTACTTTCTCACAACTGACCCGGTTGAACTCAACTGGTCACGGCTTCTCACTATAACTCTAGGAAATAACTCTTGGAGACAGTCACTAGTGAGCATATGATGATTATAAACAGAGGGGTTTTGTGGAGACTAATAATTTAATAATTGAATTCATGAGTCGACTGTGAGATATTAACTCACTGATAAAAATGATGAATGCGTCGCCCAATTTCGTGGATTAGTTGAAGTTAGATATTAACACTGTTGGATGCCGGGTCGGTGGTCTTGTGGTTAAGCGCTCTCGTGCAAGACTGATAGGTCCTGTCTTCGAATCTCGCATGGCGGGATCGTGGATGCACACTGCTGAGAAGTCCCACAATAGGAAAAAAGGTCGCTCAGTTCTTCCAGGTTTTTCATGGTTGTCTAACTTCAAATGACTCATGAATTCAGTTATTAGATTACTACAATCTCCACAGAACCCTTCTGAGTATAAGATATATTTGATTACTTCCTCTTATTCGTAAATTCTTATTTAAATAAATATATCCTACTGAACACTTGTTTGTTTGAAGTATTTTGGCATAGAATATGAAGAAGACTGGATAACATGTGAATATATGAAGCTACCGCAAAGAAGCACAGAAACAGTTCTACCGAATGTGTATGATGAGGATGTAGAAGCAGAAACAGTAATTGACAAGGTTAGCAAACTAATTGACTGATGCTGTGAGTAAAAACAGTGATGGTAATCAGTTCATATATATACATTTAGACCTTTTTGGTATTTCATGTCATTACTTATTATAGCTTATAGTGAACAAGAACTGGAATGGGTACAATCGAATGTATCCGAAGATAAACTTACAGAATTTGCAAAATAGCAATTGATTGTCTCAAACTTGACTGTTCCGTTTACAAATACCAGTTAATCATCTCACATTTCACTTTTTTTTGCATTTTCATACTAATTGCTTTCCGTTTCCATTTTTGCCTACTCGATCTTCCACTGAAATACATTTTATTCCTGACTATCATTATATACTACTTATGAGGATATAAGTAGCTCACACAACAAGCTCACCATAAAAAAGATGTATTAGATAATCAGCCTTTTCAAGAGTGGAATGTAAAAGTTAAATTCATTTTACCAGAATATATTAGACAATTACAGAAAAAATCTATTAAGTGTAATATTTTGGCATTAGAACCGATTCCAATTTAAATAGACAGTTTTAATGTACTTCACTAATTACAGAGTTAATTATATAGATAAAATATAATTCATTCATCAATGATAATCTGTTAATGATTTACAGATTTGATCAAAATATTATATGAGTTCTTCATGTTGTATAAATTAGGACTGTGATGACATCATATTGATCGAAGATACAACAGAGAACGTCCAACCAGTTAGCCAAAACGATATCAGCATTGATTTAAATGAGGCGGTAAGACATAAGTAAACCTAGAAATTCGTTTTATATTTAATAGCTATCACTAGTAAATTGTGTATAATATCTACAAAACATTACTCCATTTAATATTCAAATACTTATTCTATATTAACACAGAGATACTGTTTCATGATCACTTAAGACTCGATTAATTGCTATCGCGAATTTGTTGGTATGTCGTTTATACAAATGAACGGAGGGTATGTAATTATTATGTGTAGTTTAGGAATTGTTATCACTACTTAACTGTTTTTGGTGTCGTTAATTAATCTGGGATAGATAATGTGATTGCCGAGCTCTTAATGTGCCTAGAGAAGTAGCTAAAAATCAACCTCAAAACAAGGAAGTGGATAGTCTCAGCATATATGAAAGTATCTGGGCAATCACTACAAGCATTTTAAAACCCTTTTAAATCACTGTCGCTTATAAATCACTCCCCTGTTTACAAATGAAAAGACAAAACAGTGGCTGAAAACAAAAGCAACGTCAGTTACAGGATAAGTTGTAAAAGCTGTCAATTAAACTGAGAAACTGCTAAAATTCTGAGTCAAGGGAATTCTGAGACTATCAGAGAATTTTTAAATTCATGACACACAGATTGATCTATAATCGGAAGACATATCTAGATAAATCCGACCTGTCAACTGATTCGGAAAAAATTGATCGATAACTTGATCAGAGGTCAAGAGAGTACGACGATCAACTTGAATAAAGCGTTCAAAATCACGAGTGAGGTGGCCAGAACAAACTGATTAGACACTTTTAAGTGTTCATCAAAGAACTTCATTTAATGTTACGGCTGAAATTAGTGATTAAGGCGCTTGAAATATAACACTGTTTGTCTTAAGTGATTTCAGACAAAACCAAAGTTCCCCTTGTGATTGAAATGTTAAAAAACCTAACATTACAGTCAGAAAAGCTACATCTGATCAGCTTATCTACAGCATATCTAAACACAATAAAGATGTAAATAAAAATAATGTATTTGTAATATCCCAATAAGTTTTTAAATTTTCTGACGTTTCGTGACTTAGTGCAAGTCACTTCTTCAGAGGATAAATAACCAAAACAAAATTAATCCAAGTTTAAATAATACAAAGGGACAAAACAAGAATATTAGGTGCGACCAATCAAAAAACAGGCCTAACCAAGTCAATGTCATATCATTCCGGCTAAAGTGATTTATTTGAGACATGTTTGTTTATTTGTATGTGTATATATACTAAAGGATGAAATAATGTGATGCCTTCTACATCGAAGAATCATTTCGTGAAATCTTGACTCGGGTCAAAGAATATTTTAGGTACACGAAGAAACCACCTAATAATCCCGTAGAACTGGAAAGACTTCAAATTAAATCGTTAATAGCAGTTCATGCAATTTTCAGCAACCATTCAATCGATATTAACATCGAAATAATAGAAAAAGACTATTCCAGCTACAAAAAAATGCGATTAGCTGAAGCTTTTCATATATTGTTTAATCTTACTGTCGTAAATAGAAATGAAGGCCTCACTATCCATCCGACATGGACTATCTATCCAAGCAACCATTTCTGATTCTATTCACATTTCATACTACTATCGTACATAAAGGTTAAACTCTATCCTTTCTCACCACAAAGGTCACATTCATTCATCCCTGACCCTGCACAAATACACACACACACACACAAATTTACATGCATGTCACGTATAAATCATCTTGACCGAAATGACTTGTTCAGACCTGTTTTTTGATTTTTCGCACCTAATATTCTTGTTTTGTTCCTTTGTATTGTTTAAACCTGGATTTATTTATTATTTATTCTCTGAAGAAGTGGCTTACACTAAGTCACGAAACGTCAGAAAATTTAAAAACTTAATTTCTCTACTCATTGGGATATTACAAATGTGTAAATCACCAACGTAGATTGTCTATGTCGAATGATTGGGGGTCTATTTGATTTAGACGAGAATAATGTGACCAATAAGTCACACATCGCGGTCAGCACCTAGCGTGGATTACCCTTTCGTGGTATGAAGATTCTATGGACTCTTTGAAGACCGTATAACGAAGGACGTTATTACAGAAATGTATTAACGAAAGTCGAGATACAGGAGAAGTTGCAAACACCACCGCATGGACCAGTTCATGGTGTGCAACTAATTGATGCGCATTGGTTGTCCTTGACCTTGACAGGGATCGATGAACTGTTCGACATCTAGTGACCCAAATGCAGGATGATATGGCTAGAGTTCGGTGACATTTCACTGGCCCTACAAATTTATAATTTTGTTAATGATACCTACAAAAAGTAATGATGTGTTTAGAATAACTAAAGTATTTAGTATTGTAGATATATGTTACTATAGTCTCTTCCCAACCAGAATACATGGATTTGTGTTCTTCATTAATTATCTATTACTGAACCGCCATGTGACATCAGATAAACAAATCATATTTGCTAATTTCAACAACCTTGTCGATCAAGTACAGTCATTTTCAAGGTGTAGAAAATAAAGTCGTCCAGGTATATGTATCATCTTTTATTCTTTTCACTTGTATAAAATAATAATTTCTTCAAAAATGATATTCTATTTTCATTTTATAGAATGAATTAATTGATACAACTTCTGATCAATTCATAGCAAGTTCATTGAAGAACTTACTTCATGAATATCATTTATTGAATGATCAAAATTCAATATTAAATGAACAAGATCTACATGTTAGTTTATATTGAATCATTGTTAATTAATCAATAATTTGAATGATTCCATATGATATATAAACTTTTTAAGGACTTTTCAACTAGGAATTTAAGAACTTATAATATATTAAATAAAGGTTTTCAAATAACTACAATATATTCAATCAATATCAGAAGGGAGTTTGTGGAGATTTTAGTAATTTCAATAGTTGAGATCATGAGTCAATTGAAGCTAAACAATCATGGACGACCTGGAAGAACTGAACTGTCTTTTCGTCCTATTGTGGAACTTCTCAGCAGTGTGCATCCACGATCCCGCCATGCGAGATTCGAAGACAGGACCTATCAGTCTTGCACGAGAGCGCTTAACCACAAGACCACCGAGCCGGCATCCAACGGTATTAATGTCTAACTTCAACTAATCCACAAAATTGAGCGACACATCCATCATTGTCATCAGTGAGTTACTATGTCACAACTGACCCGGTTGAACTCCACTGGTCACTTCTCACTAGAACTCTAGGATATACATCTTGAAGCCAGTCACTAGTGAGCATATCTTGAATAGTATCTGAAGGGGTTTTCTGGAGATTGTAGTAATTTAAATAGTTGAGATCATGAGTCAATTGAAGCTAGACCACCATGAAAAACCTGGAAGCACAGGACGGCCGTTTCGTCTTTAAATTGAATCATGATCTCAATAATCTCAATATCTTAGACAACTGATACACATTTGGTATTTCATGATTCTGAAGGTGAACTAGTGAAATTTCTTCATAAACTTAGTGTAATCCAATTTTCCGATAAACTAATCATTTTTAAACATTTAAGCAGAACGTGAATACGAGATAATTTAATCTAATTATCAGAAAATAGATTGGATTAAAACATGTTCCGTGAAGGATTGTGATGAGGCATACCGATTGGTTATTTCCTAACCAATCAGCGTTTGCAGAGACTTGGAGAAAACTTGAAAATCTTTCTATGTTAAGATTATAAATATACTAACATCTTTCCTATTGCGATTCCTACATTCCTCTTCAACCGTGTTCTGATTTGGGGACTTTTTGAATGAATTAGTGTCCGAGATTATTTAGTAATATGAGTAGTTGTGTCGTAATAAGAGAAATTATAACACTTTGGTATTGATGTAAATGTAGAGGGTCTATATTTTTCATATATTTTACATCACGGACTGACCTTAATTAGCCATATAATCAAAACCAGTAAGCACAGGGCAACTGTTTCGTTCTATCATGGGACCTTTCGAATCCAGGATTTTCAGGTTTCCTTGCGAGCTTTTCGTGATATTGCTCGACCATCATTTGTTGCTGTCGATGGGTAACTGCCTCAAATCAAAAATGATTCATCTCAACTGGTCACAGCTTCTCGTTAGAAATTCGTGGATAACTCCTAGTCAGCATATGATTTTCATCAGTTCATGAGGTTGGTGGAAACTGTTGGAGATATATATTATCATAGAATGACATGATTCGGAGAATTAAGGCGAATCAAGCTACAGTTTTAGGACAGATCTACGGGTGAATTAAATGAATTAGTCTAACATTACGAAATAGACTATCAACTGTTGAATGCAAGAAGAGGAATTCTCAGCGGTGCGCACACATGACATCTTCAAGTATCGATCTCAGGAATGCAACGTATCTAGACTACCTGGATGTAAGTTGTAGTTTATCTAAGGTCAATCTGTGATGAATACTTTTTTAAAGTAAGACTAATCTTTACAAAATCTATCATTGTGTTCAACAGTAACTCACTTTGAGGTGGGTTCCCGAAGTTCTTGGCAGCAACCATGAACGATGGAGTCTCAAAAGGTCAAGAGTCAATCAAAGGTTACTAATATCATTGAATGATCATCGCACTTTGTCACAAATTGATTGTAGTTGGAAATGTATACCTTTGGATGCCAAATCAGAAGTCTAGTAAGTCGATGTGAAACCTAAATATCCTGGGTTCGATATCTGGCTGCTCCGTGGGTATTCATTATTGAGGATTTTTGTAGTAAAACGAGATAATTCTTCAGTCCTCTTTAGATTTCGAAAGTTCCCTCAAACGCATTTAATCTGTGTTGAATATTACCCTCAAATTGAGATTAATCTTTAAACCACTTATTCACCAAATCAGGAACAACCAACCATCATCTTCATTTTTTTACTACTAGTGAAAAATGGTCCGTAAGTAAAAATCATGATACCTGACTGAAGTGAATTTACAATTCCAGTAGAATTTTATATTTTTGCACTTTTACTGTTTCCACTACTAACACATTTACGCCTGTTACTCCTCATGAAGGACCATAGGCCGCTCACCAGCATTCTCCATCCAACTCTGTCCTGTGCAAACCTTTCCAGCTCTTTCCAGTTGTTATTCATCTTGTAGCTCTTCTAGAGTTACTGCCGGTCCCAAGCCCGGGTAAAGGATGAGGGTTGGGCATGGGGTTAGCGACTCCATCCCGTGGAAAACTAACTCGTTAAAAAAAACGCCAAAATACTACTGTTTCCATACTTCTCTTAATAGTAACAACTAACAGAGAATCCGTTTCTTTGAGGGAGAAAACAGAATTGTATGTTATCAAAAATACTGTCGTCTATGAAGAATAATTGAATGTATCAATCAAATTCATTGAATTTCGTTAACTGAGCTAAAATTAACTAAACAATTAGAATAAGAGTACTTCATCATTTTCATGCTATTAACTAAACACTATATTTAATCTATGATCTGTTGACTATATATTATTCAGTGATGTCAGTGAATCCAGAACTATTAGAAATTGTTCATTCGATAATACTTTCAGTTAACTTACTGCTCAATAATAAAAATAGGGAAATTTCACTGAGAATATCAAATCCTCTAAAAATACAAACTTATATTTGTACTGATGATGTTGTTCAGAAGAACAATGAAAACTTCATCATTAAACTATTCAGCTAAGAGTACGAAACTTCATCCAGATGAAAAATTATTATTATGAGTTCTGGTCAAAGAACCGTATTTGAATTTATCACCATTTATATGTAAAACTTTTTAACGTTTAGTTCATAATACTTATACTGGGTGGAGTTTTACAAAAACTGTATTAGGAAAGAGCAAAACATGTAATTTGGCAGTGTAGTTACACTTGTTAGTTAAAACAGTTAATATATTGATTTTGTAAATTGTATAATTGCATTAAATTATTGAATAATTATGGTGAAATACTCCCTGTTCAATACATTCGAATTTATCCACTGAACGAATAGTTAAAATGATATATACATAATTTTGGATGCCACTGTGAATAGCTGTGAATCTTCATCGACTGAGATGGTTGGGCCACGTGTTGCTTAAGCCTGAAAACCGACTACCACAACGCGCAATGCTAACTGGTGTTGGGGATGGTTGGAAGAAAGCTAGGGGCGGCCAAACCAAAACGTGGCATCAGTGCTTGAAGTCACTAACTTCTGGTCTGAGCCATGTTGGTAGATGCAGACTACTTGGTTGGGGTCCGCGTGACTATCGTAACCAATGGTTGGAGACTCTTGGTGACATGGCTCAGAATCCATCACAATCGCGTATGTGTATACACTCTCTGTCTTCTCTTAAACTACGAGATTAAAATCGCTTCATGTCTTTCTTTCTACGGAATAATTTTTTCTTCATGTACTATATCCTTATATGCAATCTTTCTTTTATATATTGCCACCACTGAATTAACTACTTCTATGAATCCGGTGTACATCTTGTTGTGCTAATGAGGTATGACAACTTGGACCGATATGCATATGTGCCTGGTCATACGTTGTAGCTGACTGACTGACTGAAATCCTTATCTTTAGAGGTTCAAACTATATTAGTACTGTTTCGTTGAACATGCGGAAAATAGTAAGTTTTCCGCAAAATCATAACAAATAGTCATATCAATATAGCAGTATCGACATTTTTATTAGGAGTTATTACATGATTGAACATGTTAGATGAATCATAGCGAAATTGAATCTGATTTCAAAATTACGAATACTCCACTAATTGTAAATATCCATAATCAGCATAGAAGAAAGAATGCATTATAAAAAGAATTTAGTGTCTACAATATTACTTACTTACGCCTGTTACTCCTCGAGGAGAAGCATAGACCACCCACCAGCACTCTCCATTCAACACTGACCTGGACAATCCTTTCCAGTTACTATTCATCCTTTTCATATCCGCTCCAACTTCCCGACATGGTGTGTTCTTCAGCCTTCCTCTTTACCGCTTTCCTTCAGGATTCCAAGTTAGGGTTTGCCTTGTGATGCAATTTGGCGATTTTCTTAATGTACGTCCTATCCACTTTTAACATCTTTTCCTAATTTCGTCTTCATTTAGAAGCTGATCTGGACCACAATATGCTGTGTATGAATTTAAATCACAAAAATATCAAACAACTGATATCTTTGAAAATCCCAATCATATGTCAAAAGTCTTAAATGAAGGCTTTTGAATTGTTAATAAGAACAAAAATGTTCTCACAGTTAGGTTCTATATTAAATCGCCATGGAACCGAGAGAATTTCAGTCTTTGCATTTAAAATTTAATGACTGAATAATGAAGTCCTATGAATCAATGCTAAATCACTCCTTTCAACAGTGTAGTGAATGGTGGAGTTTGTATTCTAGATAAATACATCGAATTTAGTCAATACTACCGTAATAATGGTTACCGACTATCTCACAATAAAAATTCGGTTTATAAGCAAAGATGGATAGTGACTAACAGTGGTATCCAGCACACGCGTCCCGTCCTACTCAGGACACGTCAGCTGGATGTATCTGCATCTCAGAGTTGACATTCACTTTGATACTCAATCCCAATACCTTTCGCTTCAACCACCATTGAGTTTTCAACTTAGCTACTGTGTTCTGATCAGTTGCAGTCTTAAACATCAGTAGGAAGATTCAAGTAAACAATAACAAGTGATCGAGATCATGAACCAATTGATGTTAGACCACCATTGATAACCTGGAAGCACTGGACGGCTGTTTCGTCCTATTGCGGGACTCCTCAGCAGCGCTCATCCACGATGCGCGCGCGGGATTCTAGCCCAGGGCGTTCAGTCTTGCGCTCGAACTCTTAACCTACTGGACCACTGAGCCGGCATCTAATGGTATTAATGTCTAACCTCAACCGATTCACGAAATTGCGCGACCATCTTCCATTGTACTTAGGTAGATACCTATCTCTACCCGACACGGATTACCTCCACTGGTCAGGGCTCTGGGTCAGAATCCCGCCTGCGGGATGGTAGGACGAAACGGCCATCCAGTGCCTCCAGATTATCATTGATGGTCTAACATCAATCGGTTCGTGATCTCAATGAAAAAATTAATAATCTCCACAACCCCTATACTGATAATTACCAAGTGAATTTAAAAATTTAGTTTGTTGTTTTTTAGTCCACAAATCATCAAATCCCATATGTATTTTATTCTAATCTTCATTTACTTTCAATACTGTTAAACAAAGGTGTTCACAACCTTTTCTTTTATTTAATTGTCTAATACTGAAGAATAAACAGAGTGTGTTATAAAAATGTTTTAGGGAACAAATCAAGAAAATCAAGTATTAAATGGTGAAAATGAACCATTTGATGTTACCATGATGAACAGTAATGACAATGAGCATATGTAAAGGTCAGTGGAACTAATGAACGCATTGAAAATTTAATGGTTAATAATAATCATAACTTTACTATATGGTTTATTGATTACTACGAATATTTTTTCAATTTAATAACAACAGAATCCAATGTCTCAATACAATATTTACTCAACTATGCTCATAGAGACAAGGAAAATGTTGTGACCTTTTAATCCGGTAATTTATCACATGATTTGTTCGCCAATCGTATTACGACTTATTCAATCTTAGTACTGCGCCAAAACCAATGACGTCCGACTGGTATGAGCAGCCTAGCGTCCCGGATAGTCCAGCAGTAACATCTCTGACTGTGAAGCTGGGTGACACGGGATCGAATCCGTCAGGGAGCCTCAGTTCCCTCAAGATTACAGGTACACTTTGCTGACGAGTGCCAAGTAGCACGAAACCCGGGTCTAGGGTTTCCTGTTGACTATCTCCAACCACGATCTAATTCATGAAAAAAACTATAGTTTGATGTTCAGTTTGAAAATTTAAATTGGAGTTAAATAAACTAATTAGTCTGTCACTGAAAGTTCTGTTTCTGAAATATTTATGTTCATATTTACTTTGTATTGCTTACTTGAATCTTCTTATTGGCATATGTGCATACTGTGCAGATTGCCTCGATACTGCCTTAATTCCATCCTTCCTTATAATATTTATATTTATGTCTGGGTATTTATTAATTAACTGAATCAATTAAATCCGTGAATATTCAGTTAAGACAAGAAATATTCATTACGTAACCTTAATATTCATGATGAACTGGACGTATTGAACTAGTAGATTAGTAGATTCTCAGTGAATAAACAAAATTAAAATCTGTTTTCTAGCTCAGGTACTTTTTTACAAATATGTACGATTGTAGAGTTTGATTTACAGAGTTGTACCTCACTTTAGTATGAAGAAAAATTTGTAATTATAAATGAACACTTAGATAAATATATGTTTATATGCACAAAATCACCAAATAATAGATATTTGGGTGTGCACTGTTGAGGAGTCCCAAATTGGGACGAAACTGCCGTGCAGTGCTTCTATGTTTTCCTGGGTGTTTTAGCTTCAATTGATTCATGATGTCAACTATGAAAAAAATCATTGATTGGCAATTAGTCAGTATTATAAATAGATCTATTTTTGTTGTTGTTGTTGTTGTTGTTTTTCTTTGTTCATCATTTAAAGGTGTTTACTAGTTATAAAAAAATTACTATTTGTGTTTAAGTTATGACAAACTGTTTTGTAAAGTGCTCATAGATTCATTGCGCAAGCAAAAATTACACTCAGTTCATAATTGGGTGTTTACTAATCAGTAGTAGTTGAAATAAGAAACATTTTCATAGTTCGTGCTTAGTTGATGGCATAACAAACATTAATATGATATTTATATCATTCAGATATGAAAAATTATTTCTGTATACATGATGCTGTGTCAACTGACTGCTTAAACATGTTATTCATGTTCTGTGATATTTTTATTTTGTTAGTCGAAATAGTTGACTGTATATCAAACAATTTCAATAAAAAAATTCATTACTATGTGTGAATGTTTGCAGAGATTGATATCAATTGGATGCTCACTGAAAGATGCAGTGTTTTAAAGTAGTTTTTATTAGTTGAACATTGGTAAATCTTATGACTGAAAGCTTAAATCGGTTTCCTAAGTTCCTCTAATAACCCCAGACTGAAACTACACGACAACTTGAACACGAAAGAGGCGGGAAATTTGAAAAGAATTCTTTACTTCAAGGTTAGTTTATGTACAAAACACTGAGAGCAGTTCTAGCATTTCGGATGGCCTTGGGCTCGTGGAACGTTCTAGAACTCTACTAAACATAGTAGCAGGGTAGGCAGTCATCCAATCAGAGACGTGCCACGTCACTCTTGACTTTCTAAGTGTTTCTGAGACACTTCGATTCAATGCTGATTGGATAAAATGTTCCTTGGTATTTCCAGAGCCCCTTCGGGCTTTTTTGAGAAATATTCTGGTTCTTCACAACAGATAAGTATTTTCAACCCATCTGTTTGAAACAGTGCACATATGTACCAGCTTTTAATTTACATATGGAAGGCTGATTAATTAACTGAAGAGAAAATGTATGGCATTTATATTTGAGGAAGCATTTGACTTCATTTCGCTTTTGATTTTATAACTTAACAATGTTATAAGTAAAATCAACCTTACATAGTATTTTTTAGTTGGATTTTTAATATATTTAACGTGTAGAGACTATACTCTTTTGTTTTCACTATTATTGTTTTCCAGGATAACTTATGATGTGAATAAATGTAATCATCTTATTGTATGACTTAGATTTCTCGAATAACTTCAAACTTTCTACACTATTTTACATTTATTTTTAATGATCAAGTAGATTCTTAAGAAGATGATATATTATAAATGTAGTTTACTCAATAAACGAGAAATTGCTTTTAACTTTGTTATAACATATTGTTGTATGTTGTGAAAAACTGATTAATTGAGATGCGTTTGTTATTGAAATCAATGAAAAATCAGGTGGCAAATCAAGAGGCACTAGTCATCTGACGTCGGTCTGTAAATAATTATGCCAGAATTAAGTACTTACTCACAAACCACCTTGGTGAACATATTCCTAATGTTGAATGGTGTCTAGATGGAACTCTTGAAGCTCTGATGTTAATATGTGACTTTCGGAGTAAACCGAGTTGTTAGTGAAGTCGGACGTCAATAGACTGCATTTGATGCTGTAGTTGTAACATCTTAGGTTGGTTGGTTAGGAGTCAACCTCAAACAACTAAGCATATTCCAAAACAGTATTGTTCAAGTGTTTATTCACTTTCTTATTTTGTACAAGCGTTATGTTTCCTATTATCTTGTATTGAATGTTGAGAGGTTTTGGTTGTCTAAATAAGTAACACCACACTCCACTGTGACTGTGCAAAGATCGAAATAAAGAATTATTCACTACTTGTCTGGTTTCTTCTATCAATAGCAAGAAGGTTACCTAGAGGCACGAAACTGGTGAGCCCGACTTGATAGTCATTGTACTGCGAATTGATTGAAACTGGACAATTTGAACCATTGACGTTTGATCAAGTGGCTGAATAGTGCAATGATAAGGTGTTCGTACTTCTCAGATGTGGGAACTTGAAGTAAACGACCAACCAACGCTCTGTACTTGCTAACACTTGTGTCCTCAATTCGGACAAATTCAAATTAGGCGGATACACATATATGACGCCCGAATTCATTACTTAACTATACACAAGCTGCTCTGAATCAGATTTTATTGTGTAAATAATTATGTCAGTCATTACACATGGCTTGAAGCCGCTAGATTTACATGAATTTTTCACTACATCTCGGAATGCTATTAAACACAAATAACCTGAGTTAGAGCAAGTAGCTAAGAAACGAACCAACTGGATGAAACGGGACACGGAACGTATCTTACAGGAAAAAAATGAGCGCTCGGCTCAAACTAAAAGGCTTTTCAAAAGGATGCGGATCGTAGTTTATACATGGCAGTCATTAAGTGATGCAACTCTATGGTCTGATCGAATAGATATTTTCAGGTTAAGCTGGCGGCCCAAATGCAAGACTACCTAAAATATCTTTACATATTCATGACTAGGAAATGGCCTATAAACGACGTGATCTGTAGTCTGAATTGATGTTGGATTTGGAATCGAACATATAATTACTGAGAAAATTTACATTTAGCACGTGACACTCGGAGGTCAGAAAATGCGAACGTGGGAGCAATTATAATATTATAACATTAAATCTCTGCCAGAGTAGGTGCACGTCATCTTTACAAACATGATCTATAAGTTACAAAATTAGTCCGCTCACACCAGACTTCTCAAGTAGTGTTGTTAAATAAATGAAGTCAATAAACTACATCACATTGGTGCAGATGTTCCAGAAAGTTAGTGATCGGGTTTAAGTTTTTGTGTTGCACTGAGTACAGCTTTTAAAATATTTTTCAAAATTTGCATCGCGTCTGGACACATACTAACCGCTAATGCTTGGGTGAAATATGGTTGGAGCCTTCAGATAAGAGAATGCAGTAATAAATAACATTGATAAAGGTATAATGTCGGATGGTTGTTTACCAAAGTAGGCAGAAAAGTATAGGAATATATTAGTTATAGATAAGGCAGTGAGTGGTGAAATCAAATTAATGGTAAGTCAACGTAGTGTACAGGAGAGTAGAAATCTGATGATGAATAAACAAGGAGGAACTCACGTTAACTTGGTGTTGATGCTATCTTATGCTATCCTAGCCGGTTGATTTGTTGCCGGCCTCATAAATGCAAAACCACTGGTAGCAGACCGTCAGTTGTCCGGTTATGTTGACTTTTTTGTGTGGTAGTGAGCGTCCCTAAGCAACCGACCTTAGTTGAGCGGCATCAATAGGTCCAGTGACTTATCTGTTTACTTCTAGCAAAGGAGGGAAACTATCTAGGACGATCGAAAATTAGGAAAGTAAAGAAAACTGAGGTTAGAATAAAGTTTGGTCTACACATGTAGGGAGCCTATGTTGTCGGAGTGGGACTCAGATGTATTTGGTCGTGCTGGATAAGTGAAAGCGAGGGTTTGATCAATAAGTCTTACAAACGTTTCGAATTCATCTGCCACGCGTATTTGAGAGCAGCGACCGTCCCATATAAATGAGTACTTGGTGGAAAAGAATTGTGTCTCGAGTCCTTGACCTGTATTTTTCAACTTTTACCATACATACTTTGTCTCGACGGTCGTATTCATGTGAATCTTTAGCAAGAACTATAATAGATGTATAGTAAGATTTTAGAGAGTTTGAAGTAGGAAATCAAATGAGACATAAATCTCCTTTTCCAAACGGGCATTAGTTCCAAAGTGTTCAATCCCTAGAATATGTCATCGGGAACTATAGTCAATGAGTGAATAGGTTTTAGGCGTTTGGCAGGTGAAATCTATTGTATTCCTTCCGGTATATCGGATAGGCATAATTTGGAAAAGAAGAGCAAACAGTATTCAACGATAAATCTTACGCGTACACTTATTACAGAAGACTGAAGAATGAACATACTCTTTCTCCCGCCTTTTATATGTGCTGCGCTACTGTATGACATGCTTTTCCAGATTAATTCTAACTTTGTATCTGAGTCTTTTAAGTCTGGCTTTCGCGATTGTTACTGTGAAAGGTACGCTCAAGAATTCGTCACAAGTAAGTGTTACGAGACAAATAAGTTGCCCAACGGATATGTTTTAATTATTTATCGTTCTGCATAAAGTTAAAGTTTTGTATACTGTTCACTCTGAGCGATCTATCAGTGAATTAGACAAAAATACCTTGTTACAAAAGGACTTGCAGCAAAATGGCATTTTTTAAAGTGAAGTAATGGGTTTTTATCTTAATTCAAGCGACTTCCTAGTGTTTTTGTAACTTCTATTTACAGATTTATGAGACTTGGGATCGGACGTATAGTTGAGGATTAGAAGGAGAGAATACTGTCTAGCCTGATAAAGTGTTCTTGACTTTGTACTGGATCACATCAAGTACTTTACCACACTGTTTTAGGAGCTATTGTTTTGTAATTTAGTCCAAGAATCACTTTGAA